AGCAGGAATCACTGCTGAGTTTGGACTCAGTGACAGTGCATTGATTGCTTTATTGCTGGCGTGAGCTTCCGTGTTTCACTTCTGCAACTTCTCATTTTAGGGCTTCTTCAGTAAACGTCTGAAAGGGTCCATCAAGAGGACAAAGAGTCAGTCAAAGCTGGACAGGAACACAAGTTTCCGTCTCCCATCTCTCCGCAATGCTGATGACAGGTAAGGTTTGATGCAACTCCCAAAACAATCTCTCCTCATCCAGAGGCACTTCGCAAAATCTACGTGGAGCATGCATATGCACTCACAGAATGACAGCGAAGAAGGGGATTGTTAAAATGGCAGATGGGTGGGGTTTGGGCTGACTCTAGTATGTTAGAAGTTATTTGGTATACTGTCTACTGCTGACACAGGACTGAAAACTTTTGCTGCTCTTAACAGCTGATGAAAAGTTCAGGATAAGTACATGGACTCAAATGCCTTTTTCTGCACCTGTTTCAAATAAGCTGCAGACTTTAAATTTCATGATACAAAACCATTGGGTTGATCAGCTTTAGAGAAACTTGCCTTGGTGCATGCAATACTTACAGATCGGTGCAGTGGCCAATATGAAGGATTATGCTGGCGCAAGCAGATCAGTTGAGCTAGCACTGGCAAAGCACAGAGACGTACGGTGCAGTTCAGGCACATTAAGAATCCTTGCTAATGTAAGTCGATTGTATAGTTACTGCAGCGTTACTACAACGAACAGACGGTCTGTTTTTCAGAAAACTGGAAAACTCAGTAACTTCTGACCATCTTAGTGCTCCATTTGGTATATTCTTGCTTGTTTAGTTTCTGGCTGACAATTCAGGCTGGGAGCAGATTGTAGGTGAGGCAAGCAAAAGCTCATACACGCATTTTTTCTTAGCTATTTGTAAAGTCTCTTGGTTGTTGTCATTAAACATTACTCTGTGTTACATTCCACCGTAGCCCAGCAGGAGAACTAGACCGAGTGAAAAATATGTTGCCCTGTACTTAAGGCCACGGCAGGCTTCTGTGATTTTCCATTGTTTAGTGCATTTTCCCTTCTCCTTTAGCTGAGTTGAATTCATTAGTTGTATCTGTCATGCTGTGCTGCTTCAATCAATGATGCTATCTTCTCCATCTGAAAAGCAGCATCATAAAATCACGGAGATAGCAAGGCTTTGGATGTTAGAGGTCTTGTTAACTTCAGGAGTTACAGAAAAGACTGCTGCTTACCAAATATGACTAACGATGTGGATGATGTTGCTCCTATAGTCATAGTAATGTCCACCCAGTCTGTTTTGAGTCAAGTTTTGTTATAAATCCCTGTTTTCAGGGAGTTGCAACATGGCTATAAAAAGCAACTCAGTGAGCATAAGCATGTTAAATAATGCCATCATGTGATAAAGTACCTGTTATTTTTACTGTTGTTTGTAACCATCTTTGTAAGTTTTGTAATGCAAAGATCTCTTTGCCATAAATAATGTATTTGTCTTTCCTTAACTTGGTACTCATGGCGAATGTGGACTGATGATACTTCCTTGTGCAGTGTAAGGGAAATGCTGTCATTCTGGGAAAGCCAATAAATTTAGCTATAATTAATCCCAAAACTTTGGTTTAAGACATGATATTACACACAGCAAAGCCGCCTTCTCTTTAAAACCAGATCCCCCTCTAGTCCCTGCCAGTGTGGGCATGAATTGTCAACTAGGCCTGAATGAAACGTGGATTTTCTCTGGTTGCTTGCAAAGCATAAAATCCAATGCATGCGGTGATGGCATTAAGCATGACCGATCTATTCTGTCAGTCCAAGTCTCCTTGGCATGGATTTAAAAAGGAGGGTCCAGGAGCAAATGAACTGAGAAGTTCCAGTGGCAGAGTCCATGTAGACTTTTGGGGGACAGAGCCCTGGCAAGCCAATGATGTGCAGGATGTTAGACAGGGACAAGCCGGTGGTCGCTCTTTACTTTCGATCTGGTCACCCTCCTCCTTTGGCCTGCTACACTAGCCTTAAAGCAATGCATCTTGCATCTGTAGGGCAGGAGATGGGACAGTGTTTCGGGGGTTTTGTGACTTGATATGGTTGCTTGCTACTAATGGAAGATAGCATTTTTGATAACTAGTCCATGTGATCTTCCTCCTTTCAGAGGTATGTGTGCTTAAGTGAACAGAGGGCACAGTTTGGAGGCAAGGGAGATCATTTGAGAGTAGCCAAGCTATGTGGAAAGTAAGCTGAGCTGAAGTTTATTTGGAGATAAATCTTTGCACTAATGAGTATTGCCGTTCAAAAGCATGAGCCTCACCTCAAGCTGGTTGAAGATGTGTGCTGTAGGTGAGGGTCACAAATTGCCGATACGCCTTCTTTCCAAAACGAACTTAACAGCACTACTCAACCTTGCAGTTACCTTACATTGGAAAGGTTGAAGGTTTAATGGAGTCCTCTTTGCATTTGCGGTCTGATCAGACAATTGAATATACCAACTTTGAAAGTTTATGGTTAGAGATATTATTTTCTAATGGTATTTTATAAAGAAAACCATAAAGGAAATTCAGTTCCACTGTAAAGTGAAACTTGCCAATAATTTCTCCCTTCCCTCCCATATGTTTCACTCTGTATCTAAGGGTGCCTGAAAAATGCAATTGGTGGGTAGAAAAGCAGGAAAAACAACTTGGAAGCCATGTGGGAATGAAGCACTGAAGATGAGGAACAGATTAGTATACTGGGAGGAGATGGGCTGGAGGAAAGAGGAGGCTAAAAAGATTCATTGTGTTTAGAATTATGCTGTTGTTTGGGATTTTTCCAATGGGACAAATCAGAGACAACTGTTTCTGTGTGAAAGAAGATAACACATAGCAGCTGACTCTTAATTCATGGGAGGGAATTGCCATTCTCTCACCTTCTGCTCTCCCTGCTTTCTGTATAAGTCTCAATCTGTTGCAGTAAAAACTTTCCTGTCCAACCCCGGTGAGTCAGTCCTTTCCCATTTTAAGCAGGTGATGCTGGGTGATGTCATGGTGTTATACAGGTTTTCAGGGCCAGGCTGACTGATAGCATCTACCTTTTCTTGCTCTGACAAATACAGGAGCCCTGCCTTCAAAGAAAGTATCATATGGCTTTATAAATTAAAACCCTGCAAGGATTAGAAGGAAATAGAGGCTGCTGTCATGTTGCTTTTCTCATGCTTTTGAGGTGTTTGGGTCCTGTTAAGAAACAGGAGATGTTTATAGATAAATACCTATAAAATTCTGGAGTAAGGAAGATTAGTTATCCTGGTACACATCAAGATTTGGGATACTGTAACACTGCATGGCATTCCAGATGGTGACAGAGGATGGATGCTGTCTCTTCAGAGCTGATTTAAAATAGAAAGGATTCAGGAATGCTGTAGGAAGGAGTGATGGAGATAAGTTGCAGATTTTTTCATAATCATATTTTCTGTTTCAGCAGAAAGCAATTGGCCAACCTACTTTTTCTGGCTTTTAAACTTTGTTTCAGTGTGACTGGGTTAGTGGATGGGGAGAGGAGAGAGCTGCGGTGCCCCTCCAGAAACCAGCACACCGTGGGTCAGCGTCCAGGCGTCCTGTATCCACAACCTCTCAGTCTGTACCACTTCTGTTACTCCAGGTTCAGATTGTTTGCCGGGCAGTCTGTTTTACTTGAAAACTCATGGTTTGTCTTCACAAGGCACTCACGTGAGAACGCTTAGAGTCTGCTTGGTTGTGACCCACGCCAGATGTGAATGAAGCTCTTCAGATATGTGGCCAGTACGGCATCTCACCAGGTTATCAACAGCTCTCGCCATGAGGCTGTCTGGCACCGTGTTACTGTATCATCTTTCACAGCTTTTCTAGCCTGTTTCCCACTGCATTCTTTGAGCTCTTCAACCCACACATTTGTCTCTAACATTTTCTCAGTGTCAGTAATATATAAAACATGTAAAAAAGCATGAGAAAAGACGTAAGGAAAACGACATTTGAAAGGAGAGACCAAATTAATATTTTCAGTTTGCGGCCAGGAATTTGAGAGTATTTCCAAGTGGATCGACAGTTCTCGCCTCAGTTTTGTTTATGGTGAGGGAGCGAAGATGGTTGAGACTGGCTGCATATGGTCTCAGAGACTGCAATAAAGCTTTGCAGACAGCTGGGAGGGTTTTGCCCTGTTGGGATTTACTGCCACGTGGGAATCCTCCTGCTTTACTAAAAGTCATTTTATGGCATTATCAGATAGTCATAGTCGAGCGCAGGATCCGTTGTCTGCTTGCTCAGAATGGGCTCCGGCAGGTTGCAGGGAAGCGGGTAGCCATGGCTCTGGGGTTCATGGTGAAACGGTATCGCTGCTCAAACGACAGCTTTTTCTACTTTCGGTAAGTTCTCGCTCCTCCCTCCTGGTTTCTTTGCAGTATGAAACTAGCACAGATCGTATAAATAATAGAAGCAGATCTTGCAGTGTTTTTCGTATTCATTCATTCTAATTTAATCACGGTTTTCAAAAAAAGGTGGGTGATTTTTATCCTGATTTAGACGTAAGGATAAAAATCTGTGTTACACAATGCGTTATTAAGGTTTGACTCACTCAGAGCTCGTATTCATTCAGCCTATCTGTTTCTATCTGCATACTGGAGTATGGGGAAAGGGGAGGAGTGGTTTGTTTCCGGAGAGGTGTCTCACTCCTGGTCTGGTGAACACATTTCTTTCAAACATTTTTTTTGATCTTCATGCAGCTGTTTTGTTTTTCAGTGAAAATTGAACGAGATCTCAATGTTAAGCCTATTGTAACAAACCTTCACCTTTGGGCTAGACTGCTCCGTCCCGTCTGCAGGCTCACTTGACCCCTTTATAAAAACATACTTCTTAATGGCTGATGCTTTTCTGCAAGCCCCAGGCTCCTCTACATAGCATTCACCTATAAATCGCTTAGCACTAAAATGAAACTGAATTGGTTAAGCATCTCTGGTCCAGCAAAACAAAAGAATTTGAAACGTTAATAGCAGAGACCACAGTTACAGTAGAGTAAGGAAAACGCTACCACTGTGAAATTCAGCAGCCTGTTCAGCTGCACCGTCTGAGGTGTCTGTTAGACAAGCTGTGATCTGTAGGGAGAGCAGGCAGTCAGGGAAGGGATTTGCAAATGCAGGATTCAAACCACGAGGCTTTGGGTAGGACCTTGCAAGAAAAGACCAGAATCTCAATGGAAGGCTAAAGCAATATGCTCAGAA